ATTAGTCCAAAGGACTAATGGACCACAGCTACCAAGGCCTCCACCAGACTGAGGCCAGTATAGCTAGATGGTGCCTGGCTACCACCACTGACTGCTCTGACCAGTATCAGAACAGAGGGTTCTGGACAGAGCTGGAGGAGGATGTAGAACAAAATTCTAACACACACAAAAAAGACCAGATTTACTGGCCTGAAAGAGACTGCAGAAACTCCGAGAGTATGGCCCCCAGACACCCTTTTAGCTCAGTGGTGAAGTCACTTCCGAGGTTCACCATTCAGCCTAGGATTGGACAGCTCCATAAAACAAAATGGGATTAATGAGGCACAGCAGTCCAGGGACAAGGAATACATGGCAGAAGGGGACAGGAAAGCTGGTGATAGGGAACCCAAGGTTGAGTAAGGAGAGTGTTGACATGTAGTGGGGTTGTTAACCATTGTCATAGGGCAATCTGTGTACTGTTTAATGAGAAACTATTTTGTCTGTAAACCTTCATCTAAAGTGAGAATAGCAGCACAACTGGAAGAATGAAATCAATGTCACTGAACTGTGCATATAGCAATTTTTGAAATGGTGTATCTTTGGCTCTGTATATTTTCACCAAAAAAAAAAAAAAAAAGAGGTTGAGAAGGGAGAGGGTTGACATGTCGTGGGGTTGTTAACCAGTGTCATAAAACAATATGTGCACTGACTGTTTAATGAGAAACTATTTGTTCTGTAAACCTTCACCTAAAGTACAAAAAAAGAAAAGAACATCTCAAGATCTACCCTGAAGTACAAAGCTGTCAGTGATAGGGTAGTATCCAAACACCTACAAGGAAGACCAGTTAATACAACTGTTTTTCAAATTTATGCACCAACTACAAAGACCAAAGATTAAGAAATTGAATATTTTTATCAACTTCTTCAGTCTAAAATTTATCAAATATGCAATCAAGATGCATTGATAATTACTGGTGAGTGGAATGCAAAAGTTGGAAGCAAAGAAGAAGGATTGGTAGTTGGAAAATATGGCATTGGTGATAGAAATGATGCCAGAGATTGCATGATAGAATTTTGCAAGACCAAGGACTTCATTGCAAATACCATTTTTCAACACCATAAAAAGGGACTATACCTGTGGACTTCAATGGGTGGAGTTCAAAGGAATCAAAATGACTACATCTGTGGAAAGAGACGATGGAGAAGCTCAGTATCATCAGTCAGAGCAACACCAGAGGCCAGCTTCGGAAGAGACCATCAATTGCTGATGTGCAAGTTCAAGTCGAAGCTGAGAAAAATTAAAACAAGTCCATGACAGCAAAGTATGACCTTGAGTATAAAATAAAAACAAACCAAACCCGTTGCTGTCAAGTCGATTCTGATGCATAGCGACCCTATAGTACAGGGTAGAACTGCCCCATAGGGTGTACAGGAGCAGCTGGTGGATTTGAGCTTTTGGTTAGCAGCTGAGCTGTTAAGCAGTGCACCACCAGGGCTCTTCCTTGAGTATATCCCACCTGAATTTGGAGACCATCTCAAGAATAAATTTGATGCCTTGAACACTAATGACAGAAGACCAGACAGGTTGTGGAATGACTTCAAGGACAACCTACATGAAGGAAAAGAAAGGTCATTAAAAAAAAGAAAAGACCAAAATGGATGTCAGAAGAGACTCTGAAACTTTCTCTTGAATGTGGAGCAGCTAAATCGAACGGAAGAATTGATGAAATACAAGACCTGAACAGAAGATTTCAAAGGGCAGCTGGAGAAGACAAAGTAAAGTATTATAACAAAATGTGCAAAGACCTGGAGTTAGAAAACCAAAAGGGAAGAAAATGCTTGGCCTTTCTCAAGCTGAAAGAACTGAAGAAAAAAATTTAGGCCTTGAGTTGCAACATTGAAGGATTCTATGGGCAAACTATGGAGGGAAGCAGGAAGCATCAAAAGAAGATGGAAGGAGAACACAGAATCACTACACCAAAATGAATTGGTAGATGTTCAATAATTTCAGGAGGAAGCATATGATCAAGAACTGATGGTACTGAAGGAAGAAGTCCAAGCTGCACTGAAGGCACTGGTGAAAAACAAAGCTCCAGGAATTGATGGAATACCAATTGAGATGTTTTGACAAACGGATGCAGCAGTGAAGGTGCTCACTTGTCTATGCCAAGAAATTTGGAAGACAACTACCTGGCCGACCTACTGGAAGAGATCCATATTTTTGCCCATTCCAAGGAGAGGTGATCCAATAGAATGAGAAAATTATCAAACAATATCATTAACATCACAGGCAAGTAAAATTTTGCTGAAGATAATTCAAAACTTGTTGCAGCTGTACATCCACAGGGAAATACCAGAAATTCAAGCTGAATTCAGAAGATGTGGAATGAAGGATATAATTGCTAACATCAGATGGTTCTTGGCTGAAAGCAGAGAATACCAGAAAGATGTTTACCTGTGTTTTACTAACTACGTAAAGGAATTTGACTGTGTGGATCATAACAAATTACGGATAACTTTGGGAATAGAAATTTCAGAACACTTCATTGTGCTCATGGGAAACTTGTACACAGACAAAGAGGCAGTCATTCAAAAAGAACAAGGGGATAATGCATGCTTTAAAATCAGGAATGGTGTGTGTCAGGGCTGTAGCCTTTCACCATACTTATTCAATCCGTATCCTGAGCAAATAATCTGAGAAACCAGACTATATAAAGAAGAGTGCAGCATCAGGATTGGAGGAAGACTCATTAACAACTTGTGATATACAGATGACACCACCTTTCTTGCTGAAAATGAAGAAGACTTGAAGCACTTACTGATCAAGATCAATGACTACTGCCTTCAGTATGGATTTCACCTCAACATAAGAAAACAAAAATCTTCACAACTGAACCAGTAAGCAACATCATGAGAAATGGAGAAAAGTTTGAAGTTGTCAAGGATTTCATTTTACTTGGCTCCACAATCAATGCCCATGGAAGTTTTAGTCAAGAAATCAAAAGATGTATTGCGTTGTGCGAATCTGCTGCAAAAGACCGCTTTAAAGTGTTAAAAAGCAAATATGTCACTTTGAGGACTAAGGTTTGCCTGACCCAAGCCATGATATTTTCAATTGCCTCATATGTATGCAAAAGCTGGATAATGGATAAGGAAGACCAAAGAAGAATTGACACCTTTGAATTATGGTGCTGGCAAAGAATATTGAATATACCATAGACTGCCAGAAGAATGAACAAATCTGTCTTGGAAGAAGTACAGTCAGAATGCTCCTTAGAAGCAAGAATGGAGAGACTTTGTCATTTGTATATTGGGCATGTTATCAGGAGGGAACAATCCCTGGAGGAGTTCATGCTTGATAAAGTAGAGGGCCAGGGAAAGAGAGGAAGACCCTCAATGAGATTAATTGATATAGTGTCTGCAATAATGGGCTCAAGCATAGCAACGATTGCATAGAATATGAAATACCAAACCTAAACCCATTGACAGCAAGTCAATTCTGACTCATAGCGACCTTATAGGACAGAGTAGAACTGCCCCACAGGGTTTACAAGGCTGTAATCTTTACGGAAGCAGACTGCCACATCTTTCTCCCATGAACAGCTGGTGGGTTCAAACTGCCAACCTTTCAGTTAGCAGCCAAGCGCTTAACCACTGCACCACCAGGGCTTCTAGGGTATGGAATAAAACAAACCAAACCCATTGCTATCAAGTCAATTCAGACTCATAGGGACCCTATAGGACACAGTACAACTACCCCATTAGAATTTCAAAGGAGCGGCTGGTGGATTCAAACTCCTGACCTTTTGGTTAGCCGCTGAGCTCTTAACCACCGTGCCTAATTTTAACATTTTAAAGACGGAAAACCTGAAGCTAAGAGGGATTAATGTAATTTCTCCGACTTCATAGAGTAAGTGGCAGAATAGAGTTTCAACTCAGGCCAGCGTGATCTCAAAGCAGTTGCTATTAGCTTCCACTCTATTCAGTAGAGTGTCAAAGGGTGGAAGGAAGGCTGGCTTGTACAGGTTCTGCAAAGCCAGTCATTAAATATTCAGGGTTTTTTCGAACCAGTTGTTAAAACATTGTACACTTAATGAGCTATGGTGGGAATAGTAACACCACCCGTTGTCGTTGTCGTTGAGTAGCGACCCTACAGGATGGAGTAGATTGTCCCATACGGTTTCCAAGGAATAGCTGGTGTATTAGAACTACTGACCTTTTGGTTAGCAGCCGTAGCTCTTAACCATTGTGCCACCAGGGCTCCTTTAACACCACAGAAATCCGTAAATGCTAAAATCAGGGCTTACCTCCCACTCACCTCCCTCTCCCACAGCAGACAGTTTACCAGCACACCACTGCCTTTACTGCCAAAGTTTTGTCAGTGTTTATTTCCATATTAAGTTACAGATATAAGTATTAGACCTAAATATTTTATCATATACCAAGTATTGCCTATAAATTGGCAACCATTAAGAAATGTATCATTATTTGTTATTGAATTAAATATGTTAATTTTATTGTCATATTAGAATACCTAACAATTTTTTATAGAGAATAATGTGTGAAATGATGAATTCTCTCTCATTTTCAGTGATGGTGGAAAGTGGAAATATAATTTCTTATGTGGCTTACATTAATTCTGGATATTGTAACATTTATAAAAGTATTATAGGACTTGTGAAACTACCACCTAATAAAGTGGTAAGTTTTATACTTGCATATTCTCTTCAATCGGTTAATTTACTTAAATGGATTAAGGATATTGAACATATTTTCATATGTTTGCAGAGTATTCATTTATTTTCATTTGTGAAATTTCTGTTCAAATGTTCTACCCATTTCTAATTGGACTCCTTATCTTTTTTCAATCGAGTTGTAAGATACAGAAATGACCAAAAAGTATATTAAAAGATGCTTAACATCCTTAGTCATCAGAGAAATCAGAGTTATCAGAGAAATCACAGCAGGGTACCACTATAAGCACATCAGTTTGGCTAAAATTAAAAACAGTGGCAATATGAAGGGTTGACAAGAAAGTAGAGCAACTGGAACTCTCATAGATTGCTGGTGGGAATATAAAATGTTACAATCTCTTTGGAAAATAGTTTATAAGTTTCTTGTAAAGTTAAATATACGTTTACCAGATGACCCAGCCATTCCACTCTACGTATTTACTCAAGAGAATTGAAAATATATGTCTACAAAATACTCACATAAAACTTCATAACCAAAAACTAGAAGTAATCCAGTTGTTGTCACTGGCAGTTGAATGCATAGAAACATTGCAAAAGTTTGATACAATAGAACGCCACACATCAATAAAAAAAATAAAAGTAATGAAACATGCAAGCATATGAATGAATCTGAAAAGAATTAGATTGGGCAAAAAAGTCAGACCCCAAAGAATGCATTCTATATGATTCCATTTTTACAAAGTTCTAGAAAAGGGAAAAAAATGTATAGTGATAAAATCAGATGTTTTTGTCAGGTGCAGTGGGTACACTGGCCACTGACTACAAAGGATGATGGATATGTTCCATAGCTGATTGGGATGTCAGTTGCATGGGTGTCATCAAAATTCATTAGACTATAACACGAGTGCATTTTATTTATGTAAACTATAGCTTAATAGATTTGTTTTTTTTTAAAAAAAGGAGTTACAAATTCATTTCTGAGGATCTCTGACTCATGTCACCTGTAAATACTGATATGAGGATGTATTTCCACAATATAAACTATATAAAAATATGTACATATTAATATGCTGCAAAGTCACATAGAGTATGAACACATTTTTCTTTATATGTAGAAGCTTATTGAATTTCAAACCCTTGTTGCTGTCATATTTTCTTCTTTCCTTAGACACTGTCATGTTGTTGTGTCAAGTTGATTCTGACTCATGGTGACTCCATGTGCTACAGACTAGAGCTGCTCCATAGGGTTTTCAAGGCTATGACCTTCTGGAAACAGATTGCCAGTCCTGTCTTTCAAGGCACCTCTTGGTGGGTTCAAACCACCAACATTTGGCTACTAGTTGAGCGCTTAACTATTTGCACCACCCAGGAACTTCTATACTGCCATAATATTAGCATATTTATTGTTTCACTAACTTTATTATCTGGACCCAGTTTTGTATTAATTGGAAAAATTAAGGAAATAAATACTTTGACACATCAGTTTGCTGAAGTTCATGGAAAACTACTAGGAACTTTTTTTTTGGTAGGAGCCACAAGTTCAATTCTATTCTTTAAATTTGTGTTCAGATATTAAAAAAGCATACCATTTTCCAATAAGAAAGCAACTCCTTTCTCTATACATGTGTTATTTTCCCTCAATTCATTTCATTGCTTGGCGAGGAGCAATGTTATTTAAAATAGTAGCAATTATTAGGTTTGAGGGAACTGCTTAGCTACATTATCATTCCTCTACTACCGTGTGCAGGAACAAATAGAAGCATTTCCAGTGTTCTGAGAACATTTGAGTCTGACTAGAAGAGTAGTGTCCTGCAGCCCTACTGAGTCTAGGATTTAGGAAAGCATTTGAATAGTTTTGGAAGACCTCATCTTTTTCCCTTTCTTATTCCTGACTCCAAGGGTTCATTCTCACCGACCAGAACTGTTTGGGAGAACGGGTGTTCCTCATATATTCTCCTTCCTCTGGTAGGCAGATATTGTACAAACTCAAAACTTCTTTGTCACCTACTGTATCAGGTCTCCTTTAGACAAACTTGGAACTAATCGTCTGTGGTTGGTCAGACACTCTTCAACAGAATTCAATTTAATATAAAAACTTAGTTGAATTCTGCTGTACTAGTCACATGCAACCTAAAGATTTGCCATTTATATAAGGGGTAACACTTTAAGTGAGATATTAGACTTTGACTCCAGGATATTTAGAAAAGCCCTCTACCTCTTCTTAGTTCCTGTCACCCTCCTACCCTGATGACTACACTCTGTGTTTTATATCTCTCTACTCACCAACTCATCCCTGTTTCTATCTGATGTATTTCCAATAAAAGATAACTTGAGGTCTAAGTTTTTCTCCAGAAAGATCCATACTGAAAGTCATTTAAGCCCATCTCCACAAGATCCCTAATTTGGACCGAAATTGCTATTTCCCTTAGTCAAACTCGCTTTCCTTATGTTTCTGTTTTGTTTAAATGGGAGAGTGAGGGGATGATTCTTCCTCTTGCAGATAATCCCATCAATTCTGTCCCTGGCATTCTCTGTTTCTGTTCTTTCTTCCTGGTTAGCCCAATAAGTGTGCCTTGCAGTTGGGGCCCAGGTAACAAATGATACTTCCCAGAACATACAAAGCTAAGCTATGTTTACAAAACATTATCCTAGGACCTTGAAAAATGAGATGAGTTCAATATTTCCTAAACATCTTGGTGAATTAAATTAATTTGCAGGTCACTAAATGACTATGCTTTCAATTACCTAATTTATACCGAAGTTGTCTATCAATTAACTATTGTTCTAGTTGAAACACATATCTAATGTTTTCTCTGATTTTAATGAAATTACTAATTTATTTTAAATATCAGGAGTTAAAATGATTTAGGAACACTGAGCTTCTGATAATATCAGCACATTTATTCATTATAATAAAGCAGTTGCATAAAACATAAATTTTCTGTATCTCTTACAGAAAAAAATTCGAAAACTTGTTTATATGGGTAAATTGAAGGAGAAGGAATCCTTTGGTGAGATTAGTATTCTTCTTGGAGTTCCTTTCACATGCACAGTCATTACTGGAACAGAGGTTGAGGTGGCAATCATTGAAGATACAGACCTATTTGGTAAATACAAATGTCTTCTATTTTAACTATTAGATCATTTTACTGGATGAATTTTTGACAAGAGTAGATGTATCTCACAGACAAATCAGGACACACAAATGAGTGTGTGTGTGTATACATTTACATGTATGTGTATCCTTTGTATATGGTAAAACATTTAACTATAATAATTGAAGTTATTTATGGAGACAACGTATCTATATTATATAGGTAACCCACTTTCTAACTACCTCTTCTGCCTAATTTAATTGTCCTATTAAAATATTAGCAATATTTTAAAAAGCTTTGATTTGAAATTACTTAAACCTCTGCTAATTCCTAAGTTATCTTTAATAGCATCACTCTCTTCTTTTCTGGGACATCTACTGGTTTTTCATCTCTAAGGTTATTCCTTCCATCTTTTTGGTTCAGGTCAAGTGTACTATCCTCCAGTGTACAATCTAGATCAAGCATATTTGAAGATCTATGGCTTGTAATATTTATTCTTTATCTGTAATTTTGGAGATGGCACAATGGTTAAGAGCTCAGCTGCTAACCAAAAGGTCGACAGTTCGAATCCACCAGCCACTCCTTGGAAACCCTGTGGGGCAGTTCTGCTCTGCCTTATAGGGTCACTATGAATTGGAATCAACTCGATGGCAACGAGTTTGGTTTTTGGTTTAATAATAGTAAAAGAATAATCACACAATTACCTGTGTTTGGGCCTCCAAATATTATAAATACTCAAATAGGATGTACAATTGAGTAGGAAGGATATGAAGGATAAATGGATAGAATTTACTAAGTCATAGCATAATAGGATAGTAAAGAAAATCATAGCTTTATATAGAATAAAGGTGGGAATGCCAAATGTTGAATAAAGGATTAAAGAGGAGAAATTAGTAGAAATCAAAGGAGGTGAGGGACTCACTTTAAATAAACTAATCTGGAAAGATGTTTTTGATTATCCATGTATGATTTGACTCATCTAAATTTCAAGGTTTTTGGATTTTTTTTTTTTTTTGGTCTGTTAGTGTATGAGTACCCCATACCTGCTTAACTATTCAAAAATGAAAAGAAGTCCAAATTTACATACCCATTTTTTAAAAATTATGAATTGAAATGTTGTTAGTTGCTGTCCAGTTGATTCTGACTCATGGCAACCCCATGTGTGCAGAGTAGAACTACTCCACAGAGTTTTCAAGGCTGATGATCTTTCGGGAGCAGATCACCAGGCCTGTATTCCCAGACACCTCTGGGTGGGTTCCATCTGCCAACCTTTCAGCTAGCAGTAGAGCACTTAACCATTTGTAGCATCCAGGGACTTCTAAATTTGAAATAACATTTGTTAATTGTTTTTTTCTTCTGTGGCATTCAAATACAAAACTCCTCAAGGTGCATATCACTTAAAAATAATTATTAACCACCAGTTAATATTACAATATTTTCACTTCATATAGGCCAGGTTTTTCTTTTCCTGTACTAATTATTTTAACTGGTGCAAGGCAAATACACTGTGGACTCTTTTATGTAAATCAACATTTCTCACATGAAAGTACATCTTTGAAGCATGTATGAGAATCTTCTTTGCCATCTGGCAGCCTAAAATTCAAATAGATAGTATAGTGTATGATTTAGTTGTGTTTGTGTGTGTGCTAGTCATATTTTAAATTTTATTCTACATTTAGTTCATTTTAAGACTAATGTTATAAAACTACTGACATGTTGTTTGCTTAGTTAAAATTTCCTTGAACACAAAGTACAATATTGTGTGCTGGTTTTGTCACAACTTATAAGAACATGAAATATTGTATTTAATTTTAAACAGTCTTTTTATTTCTATAGTCTAAATATTTTATATTTTATTCCAAGAGAGTTAAAAAATGCATTTATAAAAGCTAAGTAATTATAATGAGAAAAATAATGGTTACTTCTTCCGAAAGGATCTTTTCACACATGAAGAATGATAATCCTTAATCTACATTTTCATATTACTTCATTTTGTCTCCATCTATTCCATTGCTTTCATCATCTGAAATATTGATTCATTGCTACGATAGCATAGGACAGGACACAAGAGAAAATAAAATGAGCTTTAAAAGATATCAAGTTGAAGATAAATGAAAATGTTATACTAGACAATAACCACGAGCAAAAACCTTGATTTGTCATCTTCCTACCAAGAGTAACTAATACTGCATTCGTTATTAGGAAAAATTGTTTAAATTTAAGGTGATCTATTAAAAAATAAAACAAATATGTTCCAACAGAGACCTCAAGTCATATGTTGATTATGTTGCCAGCATTTATCAAAGATTATTAAATATAGTAATTTTTAAAAAAATTTAAATTACTTGAAAAAGTATATTAAAGTTGATGTCTTTCCCAAAATATACAGGTCATATTCACTATTTGCTCCCATATAAATCATGTTAAAGAGCCAGTACCACTTAAATGAGTCAGTTAATCAATAATTATTTAGTAAATACCCAGAGTGAGCAAGTAATTCACTCTCTATACTTGGGGATGGATAGAATTGCATAAAAAAAATTAAACATGTGTAACACTTAGTTTTGCAATATTTAAAAGGATTTGAGGAATGATATTTTTGTTGACTTACGTTATTAACTTTTGGAAGATGGAAATATATATTTTAATCTAAGTGCTGATCAGACATTATAGCATCTAAATAAAAATGAGAATATAGTTACTATTAAGTTTAAGCAAATATAAATTTACTCTGTTTCATGTAATGACACAGGGAATATAGTTTATCTGATTATTATTTTATGAAAGTAATACGTTTTTGTACAGTTGCTGAATTTATACCTCAAATCATTCAGATTAAAGATAAAGCAAACCAACAAAACTACTTTAATTTTACCGATATTTGAAATTCTTGTCCCACCATTAAAACAAATGTAACACTTTTGTAATGAGACAGAATTGCTTTATATTTAAAAAATGAATTGCCACAGTTATTTATTGTGTCTCATTCAACCATGCATAACTGAAAATACAAAACAGACGAGCTACGGATTTAAATTTTCTTTCTGAAAAGGAAAATTCGAAGGTAACATTGGAACAAACTATCCAATAGTTGGTGTGTGTGTGTGTGTGTGTGTGTGTCTGTTGGTTTGTTTTAACAGGGAGAATGTCCAAAGACTTTTATCTCTGGTAATGCTTCCCTTGATCAAAAGCCTAGGATACCAAATTTTTCACTGTAGGAGGAATGTGCCTATAAAGACGTCTGTGAGGGGTTTCAGGGACAATGAGTATATTCTTATCAAGAAGATCTACTTTCCAACAAGGAGTTTTTCCTTGGTGCAGAGGCAGGCTATAACCAGGTGTGTCCTTGGTGACAATGCTAATCAGAAGAGCTTTAACTCTTGAACAATTTGCCACAGGAAATAACGCTTCCCCACTCTCCCTCCCTGTCTCCCTCCCTTTTTTTTTTTTTTTTTTTTTTTGCTTGTAGTAGAAATTTTGGTATAAAAATACACTTCCTAGTTAAAAATAAGATATGACACTTAAGATGTATTTTTATTCTCATATGATTCTTTTACCTCTTATTAATACACAGAGGTGTTAAGAGAAGAATATAAATTAAGTAAAATTTTTGTTTAATTTTATTGTTTTGGAAAAGCTTTGACTAAGTGAAAAAAATGTATATCATGTAACTGTTCCTCAGTATATTGTTTTATGCTATTAGGTATCTTATAGATATTTTGAAGGGATGTTTTGTTAATGACAGAACCAGCTAAACATTTTGAATATCTTGCTGACATTTTAAAGTAGTTCTTACTTGGGGAAATTAAGTTTACCTTATGAGTGTGTGTGTGTGTTAGTGTGTGTTTATGTATGTGTGTGTGTATTTGAAGAAAAGAGATAAATAAGAAAATAATGTTGAATTTCATATTCTGCATTATGTATTTAGCCACTCAATTTTGTTTTATAAAAACAAGTCAAATTTTTTTGTTTGATTTTTATTAAGCCATTTCAATTTATAGGCAAGTAAACATTTATTAATATAATTCCAAATTAAATGTTTAAATCTAGCAGGTGCTAAAATTTTTGGATGGCAGGGTTGATTTGGGCCCAGTATGAGAAAAGCAGCAGTGAGATGTCAATTACAGTATTCCCGTTTTCAGATTTACTGACATCTTACTTGATGGTATATTTGAAAGCACGTTACTCTACCATAAAATTTAATCCTTGGTAAATTATATATTTAGAGATTCAAAGGCTATATATTTGCCTTACCATCTATGTCCCTCAATGATAAAGTTTACTTGTGTGTAGGATTATTTGTTATTGATGACAGTAATCTGATACAATTTGATATATTTAGGTTAAAAAACATTAACATAATTTTCCCTGTTGTATAAAGATTTTAAAATTAATATAACTCCGGGTTTTGGATACTTCTATTAAAATAATAATAACAAATAATTATTGGATACTCACTCGATAAATAACCGGTTTGTTAAATAAGCACAATTCACAGGAAGAAGTTTACAAAACAACGTTATGTCTCCCATATCCTTTGACATTTGTTCAGTGAGACATTCTTTCCCTGCCCTTTCAAGCCTCAATCTAATGATTTTTTTTTTTTTAAATCATTTATAAGTCACAAAATGTCCTGTGACCACTTTTGGTGGCCAGATATTCTCAACTGAGATATTAATACAAGTAGTCTGCTAATAAGCAAGTATCCAAACATGATTTAAGATTGAAGGGCCTGCTACATGGTTGTATCAGATTTCTATTAACATAACAAATGAACATAAATTTAGCAGCTGAAAACAACACCCATCTATTATCTCACAGTTTTGTAGGTCAGATGTCCAGGTAGGTTTGACTGATTTTTCTTCTTAGGGTCTCACAAGGCTGAAATCAAAATGTTGGCTTGGCCAAGCTCTTATCTAGAGGCCGTATGGAAGAGCTGCTTGTTCAAGTTGTTGGAAGAATTTAGCTCCTTGCAGCTGTAGAACTGAGGTCCCTGTTTTCTTGCTGGTTGTCATCCAGAGTCACTCCCCAATCCTAGCGACTGCCCCATACATGTGGTCCCCTCCATCTCAGCAGTGAAGAACTCTCTCACTTAGAATCTCTCTGACTTTCGCCTCTTTACCAGCCAAAGAAAACTCTGCTTTTAAAGGGCTCATATAATTGTGTTAGGCCCACCCGGATAATCTCAATATTTTAAGGTCAGTTGGTTAGTAATCTTAATTATCGTGGTTGTTTTTTGCCATAGAGTTGATTTCAACTCATGATGACCCCACGTGTTACATGTGCAAAATTTCTTTGTTCTGTAGTGTAACATAATCACAGGAGTAACAGCATGGACCAAAGGTCATGAGGGTCACTTTCCAATTCTGCCTGCCGCAATGCTAGGGGCCAGTAGTTGATAAGGAGAGCATGGTATGCATTTTTGCTTCCTCATTCCCAGCTTGCCAACCTGTTAGATGTTGTCAGATAAAAACAATCATAGGATTTG